CTCGCCCCAGTAATTCCCTATATCTAACCATTAGGGTACTATAAATAATTTACTATTAACAGTCTAACACACCGGTTTACATGCCTTTAAGTCTTACATTCTAAAGGTCCTTAAACATTAAAGTACCCATAATGATTACTATAACAGGAAGCCCTCGGGGGATATCCAACTGACAGCTTAGGCCTGCTCCCAGAGCCGTGAGCCTGGCTTCTGGCTGAGCGGTGCTCCCCTGTGGGAGTGCACTGACCACCAGGGGGCAGCTCCTGCATTGAGCGTCTGCCCCCTGCTGATCAGTGTGCATCATAATGACCTGTCATTCCACCATTTGGTCAATTTGCATATTACCCTTTTATTATATAGGATATGGCCCATCCCAGGCCTGGTCCATTTATCCCATACAATAGCTCTCAGATCTTTTCTTCCTCTTCATTCTACCTGATACTGTTCCAGTCTGAGCCATTCATTCATGCATTCATTGAACCTTAAATGAGGACTTATTTTATTTATTTATTTAGGAGAGAGAGAAAGAGAGAGAGAGAGATCAATTTATTGTTCTACTTATTTATGCATTTATCAGTTGCTTCTTGTATGTGCCCTGCCTGGGGATCGAACCTGCAACCTTGGCATATAGGGATGATGCTTTAACCAACTGAGCTACCCAGCCAGGACTGAGGACCTATTTTATTTAGATCAGGTGCCAGAAGCCAATTCCAGCATGTCAGCAGGGCTGAATCATCTGGAGATGGCTGAGGGCATTTCCCCAAACCTGAAAAGGATGCATAAATGATTGCTTGCTGTCAGACAGCTGAGGGCATTTCAATCTACATGTTATTGCCTCCTACTGGCCAAACACCTGAACAGCCGGAGGCATTTCCTCCAATCTGACAATGGATTCTGCATACCAAACCTTACCCTTTGATATGTATATCTACCTTGCCTTAGGACAAATTGTGTTAATAAAAAGCAAGGGGTCCGGAGAGATGGAAGAACTTGGTTTCTTTCTTTTTTTTTTTTTTTAGTATATTTTATTGGTTTTTCACAGAGAGGAAGGGAGAGGGATAGAGAGTTAGAAACATCGATGAGAGAGAAACATTGATCAGCTGCCTCCTGCATACCCCCTACTGGGGATGTGCCCGCAACCCAGGTACATGCCCTTGACCGGAATCGAACCCGGGACCCTTCAGTCTGCAGGCCGATGCTCTATCCACTGAGCCAAACCAGTCAGGGCTGAACTTGTTTTCTTTAGCTAAGTTTTCTCTGGCTCCCCAAAAAGCCTTCCAAAATTATGTTTCATCTCTGGACTCTTGATTAATTTACACACAGCGCCTTCTCAAAGATTCCTGTACCCTTCTAGATGCCGAGAAACACACACCGGT